AGCTGGTGGTAAGCATTGTAAGCGGAGTTCAGGCATGCGATGAGGTTGCCGTAAATGTTAATGGGACTTTATGTTGGATTAATGGAGGCATAAGATCTAGGATGATAGAGGTGAGAGTTCTGCTTGCCCTGCTTTGGATAGAGCTCATTTGTATGTTTAAATCTGGGTCTTTTTTAAAAAAGATTTTATTCATTTACTCTTAGAGGGGAAGGGAAGTAGTGAGAGAGAGAGAGAGAAACATCAATGTGTGGTTGCCTCTCACACGCCTCCCACTGGGGACCTGGCCCGCAACCCAGGCATGTGCCCTGACTGGGAATCGAACCAGCAACCTCTTGATTCACAGGCCCATGCTCAATCCACTGAGCCACACCAGCCAGGGCTGGGTTGTTGCTGTTGTTGTTTCCAGGGACAGGATTCATTTGGAGTAGGTCAAAGAAGTGGGTAAGGGAACCAGACATCCTGGTCTCAGGAGAAGCTGGAGGAAGCGGCTGTGTAACTTGCAGAAAACTTAAGGGCCGGGAGCACTGTTTTCAAGTCTCCAAGGAGTTTCTGGGAAGCAGGGTGACGGACCTGTGCTGGGTGACCGCAGAGAGAGAGAGATTTCAGCACATCCTAATGACGGTGTGTCTAGCCGGCCAAACTCTCCAACAGTGGGTCTCGAAGCCTCGGCAGGGAGCAAGGTCCCATTGTTGGAGGCCTGCAGACAGGGGCTGTGTGCCCCTCGTCGTGGGGGCTGGGGAGGCGTGGAAGCGTTCAGTTTGATCAGATGATCTTGAGCCCTTGACACTGAGAGTCTTTGCCCTTTATTCACAGGTGGTGCTGACGCCCATTCTTACAGCTTCTGCCTTGATCCCAGCACCTCCCCTGGCACAGCCCTCTTCACCCTCACAGCCCTGCAAGGTAGGTAGCGCGGCGCAGACCCCGGAGTCCATGCAGACCCCGAGTCCTCCTAAATTGGGCTCTGACTGCCCCCCCCACCCCCAGAAGTCTGAAGGGGACAGTGAAGCCTTGCTGGTCTCCATAGTGGACTCAGAGGTAGTTTCTGAGGTTTTTCTAGTAAAGCTCAGAGCACATTTCCACCCATTGTCTCATTTGCTTCTCACCTGCCCCTGAGAGGGAGGCCAGGCAAGGGTGATCCTGCGGGGGAGCAGCGAGGGCTGACCGGGCTGGGTGCCAGGGTGCCTGGGCCCCCCCGCCTGGCTGTGCTGCTTGCTGGCTGTGCAGCTGCAGGACAGTTGCCTTCCCTACCAAGGCCTCTCTTGGCTCTTCTGTGAGAGGGTGGGTTCCCCTGGGGAGGAAGGAGGTGCACAGATTCTCCCTGGAGGCTCTGGAGAGGTGAGAAAACCTGGGGCGTGGCTGCCAAGTCGCCAGCTTGTTGACTGTAGGAGGGGCACCTGAGACTGTGTGTGTGTGTGAGTCAAGGTGAAGGTGGATGAGTCATACCCACCTGGGGACACGGGGGAGCTGGCAGGGTGGGGCCCACCTGACTATCAGATTCACAGGTGACCTGACGAGGTGGGCTGAGATCCAGGGGCCGGGGTGCAGAGTGCTGGGCAGGAGACTCAGGGCACTTCCCAGCTTGGGACTCGGTTTCTCTGCCTGAAAAATGAGCGTGTTGGTCTCCCCTGCACCCCTAACGAGTTGTCGTGAGGACTGCACAAGCCCGCAGATGCTGAAGGACTCTGTGAGCTGTGAAATGGGAAGTATCACTGCTAGGGACTCGCCCAGCGTCCAACGCTGGAAAGGAAGTGAATTTCTAATAGGGGACACCATGCGGAGAGCCTGGAAAACACCCCTCCAGCCCATGACATCACCTCGGTGGCCAAAAGGAGAAGGGGCCGAATGCCTGCACGCTTACTCATCGGCGGCAGGCCAGCTGGCTTCCAGGGGGGACACCGACCACATCCAGGGCTGTTCCGCTTTCCCGCAGCTTAGATGAAAGCGCCTTCTGATAGTCTCCAGAGTGCTTTGCCCTCAAAGCCGAGATTCCTAGCAGGCCTGCTGGGCCCGGGGAGGGGACGTGTCCCCCTTCAGCCAAAGCTTAATGCTACCCAGAGAGGAGGGATGGAAGCTGGTCTTGGTTCTGCAGATCCAGCTTTTGGGACTGAGCCCAAACCGCTCCAACTCCTGAAGCCAAATTGCCTCTAAGTCGTCTGTCACTGAGAAGAGTTACGCTCCATTCGTGCTTTTGGTAGCAACGACACAGGGGCCCGTCTTCTGCCTTCCCCACTTGTGCAGACCCTGCAGGGCCAGGTAGGCTCAGGCCCAGCTGTTAAGTAGGCTTGGCCGGCTTGCCGCCTGCACTGTGCCCACCCCACACCCACTTCTGCTGAACTTGGGCTCAACCAAGGAGGCTGGAGTGGGCTCTTGCTTGTCCAGACCCAACGGTATTTCTTTAGATCTCCAGGTACCACCTCCCTGGAGCGTGCGATACCTTCTCCTTTTAGAAGTTCTCTCTCCTTTTTGCTCCTGGGAGGCTGTGCCATCCAGTTTGTCTCCTATTTCCCTGACCTTCTTTGGGCCCTGATTTTCTGCCTCTGAGTACCAGGATTCCGGCCGCCTTTCTTGTCTTGAGTTATATGACAGCTCCACTTGTTCACTGACTCATTCATTCATTCATTCATGGGTACATTCACTGGACAGAAATTTAGGCCTTGAACTGAGTGTTAGAGAAAAGATTTTCCTGTCCCTGACGTCCTTATAGTCCCGGGTCTCACAGTACGTCGTCATGCACATAACACATTCATTTCTTTAGCTGTAAGGGAAACAGCCAGGGTCATGAGATCACATGGGGTTGGGTGGGGTGATGGGTTTCTATCTGGACGGATGAGGGATGCATTCCTGAAAAAGCCCAGACCTGAAGAGGGAATGGACGGTGGCTGGGTAAGCAGGGAAGGGCGTCCCCAGGCAGCAGGAACAGCATGGACGAGGCTCTGAGGCAGGACGTAGTGGGTGGAGTTGGTGGGGTTCTGAAAGGACGGGAATGTGATGGGAGGAAGGGCCTGGAGACCGCACAGGACTTCAGTTATGCAAGTCCCTGGGGACCTCGGTCAGAGTTTGGATTTTATCCAAGGCCAGCGGGAAACCATTGGAAAGTCTAAAGTAAGGGAGAGATTTGCCCTGATTTCATTATTAGAACCTTGGAAAGAGATAGACCCAAGACCTGAGGGTGCAGTTTTTGGTTCTTCCACACTGTGGCGTCCTGATGCTGCGCCTCGGTACTAGGCTTGAGCAATCCTGGGATGTGCCCTTCCCAGCGTTCTCTAGGATCCTTGCCTTTTGTCGTTGCTGGGCTTCCGCGTGGAGAGAGGAGAGGAATCAGGCCTGCCCCGCCCTTGGAGCTCAGAATTGTGGTGGTGGCTGAGCCTGGAGTTCATTGCGCTAAGTACGAGGGGAGCCAGGGAGGCCTTGTCTTCTTCTGAATCAAGCACTAGGCAGACAGGGCGTGCTGGGCATTCAGGCAGGGGAGTCACGTGTGCAAAAGTTTGGCCACTTGGAACCACTGTGGTTGGGGACTAGTGAGCAGTGCGACCACAGCAGGAATGTGGGGTTGAGGTGGAGAGTGAGGCTAGGAGAGGCATTGAATGCCAGGTCTCCATCCCTTGTGTGCCAGTGAGCCTTGGACACATCCTCAACTAGGAGCGACTTGATTGATGGATTTGAGAGGGGAGGGTGGATTGGGCGGGAGGTGGGGAAATGCTATAAGCTGGTTGGAAAGAATGAGTACCACTGGGTGAAGCCTTGTCACTCCCACCCGCCTACACATACAAACACAGTAAAATACTCTGCCCCTTTTTGTCCTTGGCCCTTGTTGGGTTGGGCAACTCTCCTATCAATTGGCTCACGGGAGCACTGCAGCACTGGGGTTTGGCTATACCCTGGGCTGCAGAGGCAAACAGGTCTGACCCTCAAGCATCTCTCTGGCCCCAACTTGCTATGTGCCCCTTGACATGGCCCTTAACCACCCTCAGCCTCAGCTTCCTCATCTGTGAAATGGGGGTGATTACAGGGTTTGGGGGGAACTAAAGTCCTAAGCATATGCCTGTGCACAGGGATGGCTGTTTATCTTTATTTCCCTGGTGGTTGCTAACGGCCCAGTCATGTCCTAATCTGCCCTTGGAGAAGTCGCCTGCAGCCATCGTCTGTGATCTGAATTGAGAACAAGGTGTTCCCAGCAGCCTCGAAGGAGGCCTGGAGTGGGACGCTGAGCGGTTTGGAAGTGCCTTCACGCTTCCCCACTGGGGTCTGGCACGGGGCCGGGCTCAGAGGGCCGGATGGGGCTTCATTTGTCTCTTTAGCTGCAGCGCTCAGCACAAAGCTGGCCTCTCGTGGTTCTCGTAAATCCTGAACAAAATAGTTTTAAACAAGCAAAAAAAAGTCATACACCTTGGGTGTCGTCTTGCCGGCACTTTATCTGATGGCTGGGGCCCGGAGAAGGACAGTAGCTCATCCAAGGCCACCAGCCCTTTAGTGGCAGCGATTGGACCTGTTCACTTCTCCCTGGCTCAGATATGTATTGCGATTCTAATTTTTAAAATGCCAATAACAAAGATTTCACGTTAGCTGGGGGAAGGGTAACAGTGGAGTGGATATTTTGGGTGTAGGGCGCCCCTGCCCCAAAACCATGCCAGAGAGTATCTGGCTACAAAGGCCTTAAGACAGGGGTGACCAGCCTGTCGGCATCTCTGGGCCACAGTAAATACATTGCAACACGTAATCACAGAAACATCTCATAATGTTTTAAGTAAACTTACCATTTTGTGTTGGGCTGCATTCATAGCCACGCTGGGCTGCATGCAGCCTGCAGGCCGTGGGCTGGACACTCCTGCGAGGGTATCATTCGATCTTCTTAGTTTACATTTGGGGAAACTGAGGCCCAGAGAGAGGTAGTAGCCTGCTCGGGGTCCCCAGAGAGTGGGAAGCAGAGAGGCAGTCACAAGGCCCACTTTCAGTAAGAAGCAGTAAGATGGGTGTCTCTTACCCCCAGCCCGCTGCCTCATGTTCAAAGAAAGCCAGTGTGAACAATGGTTTCCTGAGGAAGTTTTGGTTTTTAATGATGTCAAGGGAAAGGACCGTTTCCGGAACTGTGTGTGCCCACGTGATGTCTGGAGTTGGGCCTGGCACGGCTGCTTCAGACGAAAGCCACAGGGTCCTATTTATAGGCCGATGTGATTAGGTTGATGTGGTCAGGAGAGGCCTGCCTGCCCTCTCTGCCCAGCCCAGCGATGGCGGAGGAAGAGGCCCTCGGGGGCGATTCCGACCCATGGGTGAGTAGCAAGGGACCTGGGGTGGTCCCTGAAGCTAGCTCGGAGAGGGGGTACAGGGAGGCCTCGGGGGAGGTCCCAGTCCTGACTCCCGGGTCCGGGGCCAGCCGGCCCTCTGCAGAGACGCAACCAGTTCCTATCCTGTTCTCCTTCTGCTTAAAAGTCCTTCTCTGCCTCCGATCAGTTCAGGATTCCTGCTCGCCAGGTCCCTTCCCCACCCACCTCTGCGCCTTTGCTGTTGCTGTTCTCTCCACCTGACTTGCCTGTGCCCAGTTCCCCAAAGACGAACCTGCGTTCATTCTTCAAGGCGCTGCTCAAATGCTCCTCTTTGTGGCTTGTCAGGTCCCGGGTGCTCCCTGGTTTGTGTCACCAGAGTGATGACTCAAGTTCATGTGTGCTCTCCCCTGGGCCAGGAAGTCCTGAGGAAGGACCTGACATAGAGGAAGAAAAGGAGAAAGGCATTTGTGACCGAGCACCTACTCTGGTCATTCATTCACCTTACATGTCTGATGAGGTATGATCTGTGTGCCACACTCCACACGGCAGGTATGTTTTAAAGGTGTGTAGGAGTGAGAGTAAGCCTTCCGAGTCAGGTCGTCCTGGATTCAGACTCTGCCCTGCACTTCCTAACAGTCATCCCTGGGCTGAACCTCTCTGCGCCTCACCTTTCCCATGGTTTCGGGGAGCATTGTCATCAAGATAAAGTTTCTAAGTACTTAGGTTACTCGGTCCATAATGAGCTTCTGTGTGCCTAATAGGAACGACTTACAGGTGGGGAAACTGAGACTCCGTGCAGGGGAGCCCTTTCTCTAGGCCCCCACACAGAGCCAGTGGCCAAGAAGAGAGACCAGATCCTAGTGTCCGACTCCGCCCTTTGTTCTCCTCCCTCCCTCTCTTAGCCCCCTGGGCCTATTCTGTTCCCCAGATCGGGGAAGCTTTGTTTTTGGGGATTGTTTTTCCTAAGAAGTTTCCTCTGCGGTGCCACGGATGACTCAGAGCCCTGAGTCACCAGGAGGCCCGAGGGCCAGGGAGGAGTAGGGCGGGGGGGAGGAGGGAAAGGAGAGAAGGGACCAGCAAGGGGGTCCCAGTTCCAGCTCTGGCACTCCCATCGCTCAATCGGCTACTAGGTCAGACAAGGCACCTCCCTGTCCTGCCTGGCCTCGGTTTCCCCAAATGTGAAAGGCGACGTTGAGCTTTGATACGTGGTTTCCAGTCCAGGCTGAGCCTCAGAATCCCAGGTTCCCGGGCCCCACCCTGACCTGCAGCAGACTCAGAGCTGGGCGTGGGGCCTGGGAATCCACGTCTCCTGGAGCTCCCCAGGTGCTTCTGCCTCGCTCCTGATCTGCAGAGGGGCTGGGAACCGGGCTGCGCAAGGCTCCCTCCGCTGGGCCTCAGAGGGTCTGTGCAGCCCTGCCCCCGACACCCCACCACCTCGGAGCCCCTTCTTTGCCGAGTTCTTTGTCAGAGTGGCACACAGGAAGTGTATAGGCTTTTCTTCTCTTTAAAGCAGTTTTGTTGAGTATCATTTCCCTAAATTGTTGAAGTAAATTTATGTGTAATTTACATACCTACAATTCACCCGGTTTAATTACTTCAGTGATTTTTAATACACTTACAATGTTGTGCCTCCACTCCCACAGTTCGGTCTGAGAACATTTCCATGACCCCTAAAAGGTGCCCACGCCTGTGTGCTGGCTGTCCCCACACCCACCCCTGTCACCCGTCACCAATCCGCTCTGTCTTTCTGAACGCCCAGACCTGTGCGCACCACCCGGCTTCTCCCTTTCTGGCTGTGTGACCTCATGCAGGTCACTGCCCCTCTCTGAGCCTTGGATTTCTCCTTAGTCGGAGAGGGAATAATGATATCCTCCTCGTAGCCTGTTGTTTGAACTTCACTAATGTGATCCAGTGTGTGCTGCGCAGTAGGAGCTGGGGACGTGGGAGCCTGGCACGCGGTATGCCGGGCATCTGTGCCGGGCGCTAGGCTAAGCACCTTCAGTGCATTATTTCTCACTTCCCCCAGCAGCTCTTGTTAGGTGAGCGCTGATACAATTTCTGAGGCACTGAAAAGGGAGGTAACTTTTCCCAGGCTGCATAGGTGACGGCGCATAGGGTTGGGGGCCTGTCCCAGGCCTCCTGCCTTAACCTTTCCACCGCAGATGGGAGTCCTGGCTCGAGGGACACCACTTGTGGGCCCAGGGCACGGTTATGGCACACACTTCCAAGGGACAGGACCTGATACAGTGGACATGGGCTTCCAAAGAGGGTATGTAGTACAGAGTGCGTATCGGGCAACAGATGTGACATGGTGCATGGAGCATGATCCAAGGAGTAAGTTACATGGGATGCAGTACCTGGAACATGCATCAGAGCAGACACGCAGGACAAGGCTTGAGGAACACAGGGCCTGGGAGGGGGCACAGAGAGCATGGTGTATGTGACGCTGGGTGTGGTACATGGTACATGACGTGGGGATGCGGTACCCACAGTATAGCACTTGCAATGCAACAACAGGGCACAGAGAGGCCTTTTACATGGCAGTGCCTGGGGCCCCAGCACACAGTGGCAGGGGCCAGTTTTCTCTTTCCACAAGGGCCTATCTGTGTTCCGCCGCCTCCTCCCTGTGTCTTCGCATGCCAAACAGTGGGTGTGTCCTAGAGGACTGGGGCCCAGTACCTCCCACCACCTACTGGCTCAGACAGGGAGCAAGTCTTGGGGCCAAGTCCATGGCTCAGGAAGAGCCTGCCAGGCCCCCAGAACCTGTCTCTCAGAAGCATCCATGAGCCCCAGCACTTGGCTAGCCAGAGCCTAGTAATTTTCCTGTAAGCCATCTTCCCTCCCGCTCCCCTCCCTGGCTGCCGCTGCTGGCTGTGAGCGCTGCATTCCAGTGCTCTGGGAGAGAGTCGGCTCTGCCACTGGGGCGGAGGCGCAGGGAGGAGGCAGCTATTAGCAACCTGGTGGTTCCCAAGCCCTCCTGGCTCTTGGCGCTCACTCCTTCATCTTCCCATCTGCACAAGAGCCTTCAATAGCTTGATGCACTGAGGCTTGGAGAGGCCAAGAGCTGGCCCAAGGTCACACAAGTCAGAGGCAGAGCTGAGGCTAGACTCTGGCTGTCCTGCAGGCAGGAAACTGAGGATGTATAGAGGCAAGGTTAGATGGCGCAGAGGCTGTTGTTGGGGGGTGGGCAGGTGATGCGGCTGCAAGAGCACATGGGCACCATATTGTAGAGGGCCTTAGGTGCCAAGCTGGGGGTTCCTGTCTGCTTTCAGTGTGCACTGGGGGCCGTGGAAGGGTCTGGAGCAGGGAATGATGCAATCTCCAGGGATAACAGGAGAGCCGAAGGCAGTGAGGAGGCTGGTGCAGTGGTTTCAGAGGAAAGATGGGGACCCAGAACCAGGACCTCCAAGTGCTGGATTGTGGGGGTGGGAAGCGAGTGTGAAACAGGCCGTGCACAGGGCTGCAGCCTCGGCCTCAGCCCTAGGTGCATTCCCCGTGGGATGCACAGGGTAGGCCCTGCCTCTAAGAGTGTCACTGAGGGTTCTGGAAGCCCCCAGAGGGACCAGCACCTGGAGGACGATGCCGGTGACTGGTGTCTCCCTGGAAGCGAGGCTGGGAGCACACCGGGGGAGAGGAGACAGCACCGTTCTGGAGCCCTGCTATGTGCCAGGCACGGGGTTCCGTGTGCCGGGGCTCCTTGAATCCTTCCATCTAGATGTGCTTGTCCTCTGACCCGGGAAAGGAGCAACGCATTCCAGTACCCTGCTTCTGTTTGCACTTAAAGGGGGAGAGTACTTTGAAAACCTATTAAAGTGAAAAGGATTAGTCATAATGAAAAATATCTTTGAATCTCTGGAAGTTCTATCGAAGTTAAGAATTTGAGAGCCATTGCAAAGAATTTCTCATCATGCTATAGAGCATTTGTAGTTTTTCCGTAACTGATCTGTACTAGAATCAAGTGCTGGCAAGCCTGTGACACGGTCTTGTCGTTCTGTCCCCAAGGACACAGGCTCGGAGAGGTTGAGTCACTTGCCCAGGGTCACCCAAGTAGTACGTGACAGGGCTAGGGTCAGATGGTGACTCCAAAGCCCTTATTCTTTTGGGTGAGGCAGGCCAGAGGAGAGGGGAATGTGTCATCAGGAGAGACTCATGGGGGGGGGGCGAGGAACAGAAGGCACCCTTAGGTGCCTCCCCATCCCCGGCACTAGCACCAGCCACCACCCTGGGTCTCTGGGCCTTGACTGGGACCCTTCAGCCCTCCCGTTCTCTGGATGCAGGGACGCAGAGGTAGAGGTCAAGGGTGGGTATGTGGGCCAGTGGCCTGTGTGTGTGCACAGCCTGGACAGACGGTGGGGGCTCGTCTTTGGATGTTATGCTTACTGAGCACCTGCTGTGTGTCCAGCACGGTGCCCGGGGCTCCCAGACACCCCACAGGGTAGAAGTCATCGCCCCATCTTACAGAGGAGGAAGGAAGGTGGAACTCTGCAGAAGGGCCACTTGCCAAGGGCACGTACACCCCAGGCATCCCCTGTGTTCTGTTGGCTGGAAGGCCATGTACCCCTCACCCCGTTGGTCGTTCTTGGCGTCCTGAGCTTACAGAGGCTCAGCCCCTGCTCCTGGGGGAAGGAAAGTGGCATTTTCGAACATCTGTTTTATGCCAGGCATGGTCCTAGGATCTTCCACGCTTATGGTCTCATTCAACCCTTTCCACGTGCCTTTGAGAAAGGCATTTGTACTTACTTTTATACCTAAGGAGCTTCAGTCTCAGAAAGAGAATCTTACCCAGGCCCCTCTGTAGGTACATACTCGGTGCCCAGTTCCGTGCTTAGCCCCAAATGTGCTTGACCTTATCAGATTCCCACCACAGCCCTGGGAAGGTGTGGTAATCCCCGCCCGAGGAAGCAGAGGCTCAGAGGGCAGGAGCCACGTGTTCAAACCACGTGGTTAGGAAGCAGTGGGTCGGGCACTTATACCCAGGTTTTCCTGGCCAGAGCTCTTCCCACCACAGTCATGCGCATTGTTTTCCTGCTCTTGGAAAGCCCTTCCTCTGTGGTGCAGGGAGCGGCCTCCCAGGCTCCTGCTCCTTCTGGCTCTGGCTAAGGCATCTGAGGCCCTGTCTTCCAGGACGTTTGCTGGTGGAGACCCTGTTCCACCTTCTGCTGGTCCTGTGGCCGCAGTGCCTGCGTCTGGGTCTCCATGTCGTGCTGCTGATTTGTTTGTGCATGGGCTGCCCTACTGGTGGGCTCCAGGGTGCCAGAGGGGCCAGCACAATTGTCTGCAGTCCAGCCTCCCAGGAACGGAACAGCGCTGGCTCACAGAGAAGGGGAAACAGGGTGAAGTGGGCCCTAGCAGGCAGGGCCCTGGGCTCACACCCGTGGTCAAATCTGGCTACTTCCAGGGCACGGGGTCAGGAAGTGGTGGGGCCTGGCCCGCTCTGAATGTCCTGCCCTGGCTCTCAGCACTAGGTGGGGTTGCCTCCGGAAGCTGGTCACAGGCCAGTGGCTCCGGTCCCTGGGATAGTTGGCCCTCTGGAGGTGGCTTCAGCCAAGCCCCACTGCCGTCTCCCCAGTGACTGTCCACACCCAAGACAGACTGTGCCAACACAGAGAGCCAGCTGGCCCTTCCAGGGGGCCCTGTCGTGTCATGGAGACAGGCCTCAGCCTAGGCCTGATCACCAGGAGACCTAGGTTCTAGGGCTGCTCTGCCAGGTACTTGCATGTGATTCTGAGAAGTCACACTGTCATTCTTGGCGTCATCATCTACAAAGAGAAGATGGACCAATGGACATGCTGTTAATCAGTCCTACTGTGTGCAGTGTACCCCAGCCATCTCCCTCCAGAGCTCCTGACTGTCCTGCAAGTGGGCATCACTGTCCGTGTTGACAAACGAGGGACCCAAGGCTTAGAGAGGGACAGTAACTTGTTCCAGGTGACACAGCCGGCCCTGAACTCAAGAATCTCACTGTGGAGTCTGGAACCTTTCTCCTGCCCCACTTGCTCTCAGGTGGCGCGCCAATGCTGAACAAAGGCCTCTGCAAAGAAGCAGGAAGTTCGAGAAGAAAGGGGCTCACTGGTGGGGAGCTCCTATTGTGTGCCAGCCCTTGGGCCCCCTCACTGCCCTGCGAGCTACGTATCATTCTCCCATTGTATAGACAAGGAAACCGAGGCCCTGATCACAAGTCCACGGGGCTCTCCAGACCTCACTGAAGCCCTGTCCAGTTTCACTGGGTTTCATAACTGGTGTCTCTGATAACTGACCACTGTCCCAGTTAGCAAAGCCCTAGCCGGAGGGGTGGGTGTTCCCATGAGGGCTCAGAGAACAGTGTGAGCCAGCAAGCAAACAAGCTCCGAGAGGGGGCCTCCCATGAGTGCCGGTTTCTGGGAAACTCAGAACAGTGTTTGGGGCAAAGAGAAAGAACAGGGCGGTGTCTCCTAGGTTGGCCGGGGGCCTTTTGTACACTGTGGCCCAGAGGGGAGGGTGAGGTCGTCTCCTCCAGACTCTGGGAGGTCCAGAGAGACGTGGCAACTAGCCCAAGGAGCCAGAGGGAGCAAGGCTGGAGCTGGCTGTGGGGGTCCTGGGGCCAGCTACAGGGGAGGGGTGGGAGCTATACAGCTCCTTCGTGCGGGCAGACACCAAAAAGCTGCCTACCGTGTGTGTGGCACTGGGTGAGAGCCGGAAGCTCCCCAGACCAGAGGTTAGAGAAGGGAAGGGACTAGGGTGCACGCATATCGTGAGGGGTGGCAGGGCCAGGCGGCCTCCGCAGGCACGGAAACCATACCTGACCTGAGTGCCCGTGAGTGCCGTAGAGTGTAGCTGCCACAGTCCGTCTTCCACTCAGTGGCCACAGCCGGGGGTCTTCCTGGGACATGCCTTTGCCCTGGGTGCTCACACAGGTGTGTGGAGGGCTGGAGCGCTTCCTGATGCAGCCTCCTGCCCTGACCCGGGAGGTGTGGTGTGGACGGCTGCCCCAGAGACTCCTGGCTGCCCGGCCTGGCTTGGGCTTGACTGGTTTAGCAACTGTAACCCTTTACCTGGAAAGGACACTGCTGCTCCCTGCATAGACCGGACGGTGCCAGGAGGTCCTGCTTGATCTCTCCAGACAGAGGCGGGGACAGGAGCTACCACACTATGTTTGAGTCGCAGCAATGCCTCTTTCCAGCTGGGGGACCCTGAGCAAGTGACCGAATCTTCCCGAGTCTCAGTTTCCCTGTATGGATAATGGGAACTTTAATGCTCTTTTTCCCTGGTTGCTGTGAAGAGACTGAGTCTTGGATCCCCTCATCTCCCGCCTTCCTTCCCTCCCTTCTCCCAGAGATGTCTGGGCCCAGAGGAGAGGTGGCATGCTGCCACTGGTGGTGGTGGTGGTGCCTCCCGCAGGGCAGGGGCCCTGGACTGTCAGATTCGGAAGGACCTGTGGATGGGAACCCTGAGGCTCAGAGATGTATAGGTTCTGGATGCGGCTGCACGGCCAGTATCTGGGAACGCCGCAGCTGGGAATAGCATAGCGGCCTACCCATCTTTTGCAATGGAGACCTGAGGCCCAGAGGAGGATGGTGACTTGCCCAAAATCACCCAGGATGTCAGTGGCAGAGTCTAGCCTAGCACTGGGGCCTCTTCCTTCCTACCCAGGGACCTTTCTCCTGTACCCCAATCCCCCCAATCTCCTGCACTCAGCAGGCAGGGGGAGGGAGCAGCATATAAGACCATGCTGCCCCCACCACAGGCCTCCACACATCTCTGCCCCGCAGCAAGAGTTCCCAGGCTGTGGGCTCTCCGAGGGCAGGGGCCAGGGCCCGTTCGCCGGGTCTCCAGTGCCGAGGGCCCCCACTCCAGAGCTGTGTGGCAGGCAGAGCCGCACGGCATTTGCGATCATTAATCAGAGAGCCAGTCACCCTGGACTGCTTGTCAGGCCCCTGGGGCCAAGGCCGAGCCACAGCAGCCCTCTGTTAATCACCAACTGAGGAGGTCAGGGCCACGCTGCTTCAGGAAGGGGCTGCACAGCTGGGCGAGCAGCCGGCCCCGTGCTCACGCTGGGGGCTGGGCTGACGAGGAGATTCCTTCTTCCTATTTGTCTGGGTTTTCCAGATTGTCTATTGAGCAGGCATCACTTGAAGCATATTTTTTAAAGGTAGTATTTCTAGATCAGTGTTTTGTTAAAAAAAGAAAAAAAACACCCATGACATTAGGTACATACTGGTAAGTTGTTTTTAACCAACCCCAGAGCAAGTTTTTTATTTTAAGGAAGTATATTAAGGTATAATTTACCTACCATAACGATTCACCCATTTAAGCGCACAGCACAACACTCTGAATTTTAGTAGAGTTTTCGGTTGTGTAATCATCTCCACCATCCAGTGTTAGAATGTTTCTGTCACCCTCGAATGTGTCGTCTCGCTGACTCCAGGGAACCTGGCGCTCACTCGCCGCAGCCTCTGGCAGCCTGCGCAACTGTCTCTCCTTTCATCCCGTCCAAGCAAACGGCCTTGACGGTTTTCTGTTCGTCTTCCTTGACTTTTCTAGGGTGTATGCAAAAACAGATAGCCTTCTAAAAAAGAGGAAAGGAGCTAATAGATGCAATGGTTTACTTTCTGTGCTTGGAGATCTCTCTGTGGTTACGGAGCGCCTACTGTGTGCCAGGCACGATCAGATCTGGCTCATTCTGAGTTCACAGCTGCAGAGTGGTCCATTGTATGGCGGCTCCGTAATTTATTTAACCAGGAAATCTGGGTCCCTTCCAGTTTTCTCCAAACAATGCTTCAGTGAACACCCTTGCTCGTGTGTTTTTGTGTGCCTTTGTAAGTAATTCTGAAGGAAGTGGGTCTGTGGTTGCACTGTGTGTTTTGAATCTGGGTGGTCAAATTGCTATCCAGGGAGGTGAAAGCTGGTTTACACTTCCATCGGAGCACGCGAGAACTGTGGGGTTTTTCTAATCCTTCAAGCCTCCGGAATGCCTTCGGAGAGGGGAGGGCTCTCGGAATTGAGGCCCGAGCTGGCCCACTGCAGGCTCCACAGGCCCTGAGAACTCAGCATCTCTCTGCAACCACCGTCCGCCCCCCGCCCACCCTGACAGGCACTCTTCCACGTGGCACGTGGGCCCCCGAGACTCCTGCCGCCCTCCCGGCCTCCTCTCCTCTTGCCCGCTGTGTTTCAGGCCGGATCCCCCCACCATTCGCTGCATGTGGCCTGTGTTTGCTTGCCCTTTGCCCACGCTGGTCCCTCTCCGAAAATGCCTTTTCTTAATCTCCCTCCTCCCTGTCCTTCAATGCCCAGCCGGCAAGTCCCTTTCTCCACGGAGTCTTCTTATAATCCTCGCACTCTGGAATCTTCTTTGCTCTGTGTGAGTTCCCGTAGCCCTTTATCCGGCCCGCAGGCCCTCTTCAGCAGGAGGGAGCTACCGTGGAGGGTGGAGGGCAAACTTGAGCCTGGTTACTTGGAAGCTGGGCTGCAGGAGCAGCTGGGGTGGGTGACTGTTGGCCGTGGGGCGGCGGGGATGGGAGCTCCCCTGTACCTAGCTGTCAGCCGGGCTGTTTTCACACGCAGAGACCGATAGAGCCCTCAGAAACTACTGTACCCCTTGGTAGGTGAGGCGACTGGAGGCGTAGGGGAGGAAAACAACCTGCTCACAGTGGAGGTGGGAATCAAAGCCAGGTCCCCAACTCCCCAGCTCTCTTGCCTGTCATGGCAGGGGACTGTGAGGAGAGGGGGGTGCTGGGACCCAACGGGACCTTGGAGGTAGAGAAGTTGGGTCCAGCAGGGTGGTGGGAGGGGGGAGAGAGGGGCTGGCCGGTGGGACTAGGAGAGTCGGGATCATACTTCTCCTGACCCAGGGACCGTGTGCCTCAGCGTGGGAGGTGCAGGGATGGGAAGGGGGCGGAGGAGTGGGGAGAAGCCTTACAGCCCTGTCTTCTCTTGGGGAGCCAAGAGATGGGACCTAGACCCCCCCAAAAAAAGTCCCACCCCCAAAACAAAACAAAATCGGAAACAACTACAAAAAGCAGCAGGCGCTGGAACTGAAGACCTGAAGGTGAACCCTGACATCATCAGGGGTAAATACTCTGCCCCTGGGGAGAAATACGGGGGGTTGAGAGAGAACAACTGGGCACAAAGATGGTACTTGAAGTCTTGGTAAAAATAAACATTTAAACAATAAAAACTTTCTTGATTGTCACACCTGGAGCCAATGCAAAGAAATACTGAAGAAAAAGGAATAAAAACTTTTTAAAAAGAAGAAAAGCGGGGGGTGGTTTTGACTGGAGGAAAGCCTGCAGCTGCGGGGGGGGGGCGGGGGGCGGTGGTGACAGGTCTGCCTGCCCCTGCCTGGGTCCTGCTGGCCCAGGGGTGCAGGCTAGCCCGTGCTGCCTGGGTGGTCAGGCCGCCCCGCAGTGCCTGGGCTCTCGAATGGTGGCTGTCCCGTTTCCTGGGGCTGCGCGGGTGGGTTGTGTACCCTGCACGCAGTGATCCATCCCCTCTGTAAGGTGCGGCCGTCGCCATACCCACGCTGTCAAGGATAAAGGATGTTATGAAGGAAGCGTGGAAAGCTTTCAGTAAATGCTGGAGATGTTAGGTGTGGATGTGGGAGTGGTCTTGCGTGGGTCACACAGGAGGCTGAGCCGGACTCCCTCACTTTCGTGAAGGCGCCCATTTAGTGTGCACAGAGGCAGCGCCTGCTGCCTGCTAAGCTCTGTGCCCGGTCTCCGCCCCCCTGAGCTGCGGGGGTGGGGGGGTGGGAAAGAGTGGCCGGCACGCCCGATTGGGTTGGTCCGGTGCGAACCCAGCTGTCTCCAAAATCCAGGCCAGATCCCCGCCCCTGGCGGGCCCTCGGGGGCCGGGCTCGGCCCTGCCCCCGAGCTCTCCTTGCGGGGCGGTCCCGGCTCGGGCGGGATGGGCCAGCGACTACTTAAGAGCAGTGACCCGGACGCCGCGGGTGCCGGCTGGGTCTCCTGCAGTCGCTGCCGCCATGGCTCCGCGAAGCTCCGCGCCCGCGATGCTCTGTGCCCTGGTCCTGGCGCTGTGCGCGCTGTCGCCGCAGGCCCGCGTGGCCACCGCGTCGCGGGGGGGATCGCGGGTGGCGACCCAGGCACCGCAGACTCAAGGGCGGGTGAGTGCCCAGGGGGCCTGGGGGCTCCCGGAGTAACTCTCTATTGTAAGTTCTTGCAGATACAGCACTAGGAAAAGGGGAGTAATTCAGGTCTAGAATGGAAAAACTGTTTTGTTGCTTTGTAAGTATCTCTTGCTGCTTCCGGGGCTCCCATGGATGCGGGTGGGAGCCTCGGGGACCTGGCTGTTTCCCTCCCTAGAGGCTAACCTCGCCTTGGCCGGACTTCTTTTTCTTCCCCGTCTTGGGATTTCTGACCCATCCCTGCCCCCTGATTTGTCCTTTTCTCCTCCAGTGTCTCTTTCCCTCTGCCCGATTTCTCTCCTTCCCTCTTCTCATTTCTCCCATTTCAGATTTCTCTTTTTCCTCTGATTTATTTCTGCCTTGCCAATATTTTCTCCCTCTTCCGTGTATGATCTTGCCTCTGCCCGCTTATCATCATTACGATTATTTGTTCTCTCTGATATCTCAGTCCCGTCTGGTTTCTCCTCTCTCCTGTTGCACTTTTATGTTTCTCCACCCCTCTGCCTGAGTTCTCTCCGTCTGGTTTCTCTGACCTCTCCCACCAGATCTGTTCTCCGGCCAGGGGACCCGTGCCTGCTGAGTTCTGCCCTTTGGCCCCAGGCTAACAGTCCCACTCTGCCGCATCTCCAGCCCTCCTGCATGCCTGACGGCCTTTCCCCCATCCTTGACCACCTGGTCTCCAGCAGGCTCCTGCAGACCCTGGCTGCATCCTCTCCACCTTTCCAAGAAATGGAATTTGGGGGTGGGGTGCCCGGGGGGGGGCAGGAGGGAGGAGGCAGACAGCGCAGGAGGCCACTTGGGCTAAGTCATTTAGACCCTCCTCGGGGTGTGGTGGGGGCATGGGTGGGGCATGGGAAAACCTTCCCGCTTCCAAAGAGCCAAAGCCAACAGGCTGCGTGGTCTGGGCCAGTCTCCCCCCTTCTTTGGGCCCCAGTTTCCCTATCTGCAGAATGCGGTTGAATGATGAGCTCTCCTAGGAGCCTTCTAGTTCTA